TCCTCTCCCAGCATACTCCTTTCCTCAGACTTACTATTCCAGTTGTATAGCTTTGCCTCTCAATTTTATTCATTTCATATTCTGCCTCTCTCCTGTCCTCTACACTGGGCTCACCCACTTCCAGAATTCTTAGCCTGGTAATCTCCCATGCTGTGCTCCTGCACACTTGACCAGACACTCAGGCCCTGCACCGACGTGAATCCCACAGTCAGCAAAGCTGAACTGAAGATCAGTGCTTTGTACAGCAGCAGCAGAGATCAGCCCACAGTAGCCAGAAGCAGAGATTTTGAGATGTACAAACCTATTCAGGAAATAAATGAAAGCACTTACCCCAAGTCTCAGAGAGACTGCAGGTACAAGTAAGGAGTTGTTGATGCTACAGGCTCAGCTGCAGGCCAGTTTTGGAATTTCTACATTATTTAAAGTCTTTAAAGTCTTTTCTGACTTTTTTTAAAATGTAAAGTCATGTAAAGGTGAACTTACAAAAAAAAAAAAAAAAAAGTTAAAAAATTAAGTTACAAATTCCCTGAATGTCCCCAGTGAACTATGAGAGAAAAATGGAGAAAGCCTGCTGAAGTTCTGGATAACAATTGCACAGGTAGTGCTGTGTACCCATTATGCTGAACTAAGAAGCTTCTGACAAGATACCCAGGCTCCCTTTTGCGTAAGCAAAGGTGTCTCAGGAGGCCTCAACAATTCTCATGAGACACAGAGGGGAAAAAATATGCAAAAATGTAACAAGTTTCACTTTCAAAGGAAAACAACATTTCCTCCCATACATTTTCAGTATCATTAAATTGAGACAACTGGTACAAGTCTGGTAGCATGTCCACAATTGAGGGATACAGGAGTCCAGACTCCACATATTGCTTGGGCCCACTGCACAGCAACAGCAAGAGTTATCTGCTGAATCAAGTTGGGAACTGTCAGAAGCAAAATTTTCTATAGCTAAATTCATGGGAGGTTTTTTGAGCATGGTCAGCATATCTTAATCAACTGCAGGACTCCTAATGTGTTGGAAAGGGGCTTTGTTGTTGTTTGTAATGCACTTATTTACTCAAGAAAGCTCAGCTCTGATTCAGCATCTGGTTCTCATTGAGGGTCAGCCTTTTTTAAACCAAGCTTTCCAGATGGGTTGACTGAAGCACAACGAGGTCAAGAGACTTGTCTGAGGTCATACAGCAAGTCAGTGGCTCTGCTTGGACTGGAGCCCAGACGGTTCAAGGCTACTACTCCTTGACTCTTAAAGACACAACTTCATTCCCCCATGAAGTGATCACTACGAAGAAGACACGGTCCCCTCAAAAAAAACCAGTCCCCTCAAAGCTGCAGCTTGATGTGATAGTTATTTGTTAAAACCTGTAGTGTTCAATGTCTGAATGGATACAGGTCAAACTAGAGGGATGTAATACTGATATACAGTGTCATCCACCTCAGTCTTACATAATATACATTCTCCTATAGGGCAGCTCTGCACTGCTGCTGCAGTCCGTAGTTTTCTATTCACATTCCACCCAGCAGCGCAGCAGATCATTAAATTCACTGTCGGGCAAAGCTGAAACCTCTTCTCAAAGCAGGAGAGGTCAATTGACCTCAAGACCTGTGGAAGAGCCTGAGCGCTTGTTGGTATGGACAAGGAAGCCTGGCGCAGGCAACACATCCCTGCTGACTGACCAACAGGGACTCTAAGCCCAGCTCTACTCCTCATAACCACCAAATGCACCCTTCAATCTATGCCACAGGCTGGACAACAGTCAGCAACTCAGACAGAAGGCACACAGATCCCACAGCAAATGCATGCTTGCTCCAAATGAAGAGGAATGCAACTGCTGTTTGATTCTCCCATAAAAAACATGACTCAGCTCTGCACTGTTTTCAAAGGGGCAGAGCAAGAAATGTGGAATGGAGGAAACACTGCCAGAGGCTACACAGCCTCAGACAGGTAAGGGCTACCTCTAAAGAGCTTTAGAAAACATAGATGGTCTTGCATGTCATTCTAAAGAGCCCTTCTGAAACTGGGTTAACCTCCAGCAGGGCTCTGATGCTCACAAACATTGAGCTTTGCTCAAGTCTTTCCTATAATAAATTCAGCACCTTAACAAGATTAAAGCCACAGAGTGCTAGGGAATGTTGTGTTACTGCTCTAGCACTGTTCTAAGGATTAAAAAGTCAGGTTTTAAACCACTGTATTCTGTTTAATACATTATTAGCAAATAAAACCCTGAAAATGGTGTACATGCCAAAAGCAAGCATAGGTGCAGCCAACTTTCTTATTCTTACAAGATGCATACCCAAAAATCTTTTGCATAGCCAAGAACCACAAAACAAACACCACATAGCCAGCGAGCACAGGGAAGAGATAACAGTGATTCTCTAGGGCTCCCAGTGTGGGATGGGGTTAGATTGCACATGCAGATGAGTCCAATGACAACTCAGTGACGTCAACCTCAGCAGCAATTGCCTGTTCAGCTTCCTCTCACAGCCAGAGAACAACCAGCAGTCCTTGTGTCAACACAGCCCTGCTGCTGCAGGAGCAAAATGAGAGCCATACCTGGACTGCTGGATTGTCTCACAGAACTGAAGAGCCACGTGAGGGCAAATCTTGAGCTGGCCACGTGACTTACTCCAACACTGAAAGTCTTTCCTAACTCCTGCTGAATGAGAGCATACCTTTTCTTTTCACAAGTTCAAAGATAAGCTGTTTTGTAGTCTCCAAGAAGAGGCACAGCTTGTTGAAAACCAGACTTGCTCTCTCTCTCAGGACTTCACAAGACCGCACTGGTGTGACTAACCTTGTGGTTTTCTAAATCTGATTCTTTAGATCTGATCTGATTCTTTGGGATCTGATCACTTTGGAAAGTTGGTTTTGACCAGCTGTTCGAGACAGGTTGGAATGGGGCATCCAAATCTGTGTTCAGTTTTACAGCAAGCTAGATGACAGCCTGGTTTTCTGTGTCTCAGACTGCCCCACAGCACACTGTAAGCCACTCCATGCCTCTCCAGAGGCAGACTGCTCCCTTCTTCAGTGCCAGGCTGGAAAAAGTCACTGCACACAGGACATAGGGGCTACATGCAAACCAAAACCAAAAGCCATAGGAAATCCTCCATGCAGGACTTGGAGGGGACTGGACATTTCAACAAAAAACTCCATGGGGAACAGCGCCTCAGACACTAGTATGTGGTTCAGTACTTAGTTTCCCTGACAAAGAAGAAAGAATCCCCCAAGCAGTTGCAAATGCCAAGGCCTATCCCAGGGTCGGGCTGTGGAGAACCACTGGCTGAACTATTCCATCCTCGGCTACGTTTCTGGATTTCTTCGGTTTTGTTTTCAAATGTAAATGGCTGAACAGCTCCCCCCCTTTACAACTTGCTGCTCTTCCAGTCCAAACAAAGGCAGCAGAGCTCCTCCTCCGCTGGCTGCAGGATTGGGTAGTGCAGGCGGACGCCTTTGTTTACTAACTCTCCCACATGCTTGGCCGGCACGCACTGGGCTGGCCGGGCAGCCCTCGCCGCAGCCCTGCGTGCAGCGCAGGAGGCTGGCAGCTACCCGCAGCCCAAGAGCAGCAAAAGCCAGACCAGGGGCAGCTTCACAGGGCCGCTTTGGATGGGCATTCTTGGATGCGTTTCCAAGGCATAGATATGAGGTAGGTTCGCTCCCCGAGATGCAAGGGGTCAAGTTACAACCAGTTCCACCACTTCACTCCAGGGCTCCTCCGCTCTGGAGACATTAGCCTTCCCTTCACGGAGACAATCCGGCTGTAGATAGCTATTGTGATGAAAAGGTGGCGCTGGGGAAAACCCCGTTTCAACCAACACCACATGCTAAAAAGCTTGCGGTTGCTCATCGTTTTCTGTAATTTGCAAAATGACATTCATAGCCCAATCCACCTTTCTACAGGTTAATCTTCCTGTTACAGCTTTAACCTTCCTTTAAGAACAGTCCTGTTTCTCCTTTCTCTTTCTTATCACAGAGACAACTAAAACTTTGCCCTGCCACAAGCCACGTCCTCTGATCAGGGCAGAGCTCCTCACTTACCTTTGAGAAGAATTACAACGGACTCCAAGTTAACAACACCAACACATTTGGAATGAGATAAGCTTCTTGTCACTCTATGAAGTCAGCAAGTGTCAACTTCTTCATATGCACATTTGGATACACGCTGCAACACCTTGCTGGACTTGCATACAAGTAGGGAAGTGCTGCCAAACTCTGGTCACCAAACTCTGCACAGCTGGAACTTCTATTTGTTTACCATTCAGTAGAGAAGGGAGGGAGAACGGAGAAAGAATCTAGATTTTTAAGGGATTTGCTTTTATTTTCTTTCTTTAAAAAACAGCAGAGCTCTTCTTTTTTTTTTCTTTTTTCTTTTTTTCTTTTTAAAGCAAAGTAAAACAAGATTCTGTTTTTCAGACCTGATGGCATTTTACAGCTGTCTTTTGTTGTGAGGAAGTTGGTCACAAGTCTGAGATACTAGCTAGGACTGTCTCACAGAGGAGTTGCTATCAAGTCTAGAATGATCATAATACACTCTAACGTTTGAGACAGCTATCCCTAGACAACAAAAGTGCCAAAAGAGACTCTAGGCTTGCTGTCATCTCCAAGATGAGGAACTTACACAAGTCACAGCCAACCAACTGTATCACAGAAAACATGATGCTGGTGGTAAGGATAGCAGAGAAGAAAAGCAAAATGCTAGGGAAAGCATCCGTGACCGTTTTGCTGATGAACCAGGAGAGCTGGAATAGCAGACAACAGCAGCTACCTTCCCAGTCAATAAGTGCAGTTCTATACATGCTCTTCCTTCTATCTATCAATCTTTCAAAGAGAGCCATCAATCTAGCATGAGCAAAATACATAAGTATACCATGCTGTTTTGTCACTGCTGGCAGCCTATAGCTGCCTTAGGCCACAGCTTGCTTAGCCAAAGCCTGGAGCCAGTCTTCTGGAGCACCACTCTCAGATAAGAAATACCCCACCTTCCCCTGAGGAAACACCCTACCCGCTGTATGTGGAGCCGGTGGAACTGGTCTGCAATGCACTGCAACTTCCGTGCAATCTGCACCTCAGTGCGCGCCTCCCGCTGACCTTCCTGAGGCTCTTCTTGGAGATTTGGATCCAATGCAAAGCCAACTGGGGGGACATGTAAGCGGTAACCAGCATTCCCTACAAAACAGAGACCAGAGGAGTCATTCTTCTAGCACAAAGAATAGCTATTTTATTCATTATTACACTTCAGGCATACAGAAAGAGTTGCACATAATCCTATTTTTTTTTTTACTCATTTTAAAGTCCAGTTTCTGAAGCCAAACAATGTCTACATATACCATAAGCATGCAGTATGAATTTAATTTGATTGGCTTTTAATTAGTTTTATAACAATTAAGCATAACACTGTGTTATCAGTGTTATCAAATGACTGGTAGGATCTTCCACTTGGTTCTTTTTGCTTGTTTATGGTTCAGACAAGCGCAGAGGTATTCTTTTTTCTTTAATGACAATTTTACATTTCTTCCAACATCTTTGCCTTAAGTTGTCCCCCTTTAAGGGTTACTGTATGTTTTCCTTCAGATTTGTCTCAGTCATTTTCTCTAGTGTTCAGTGGGACTGATTTGAATTAAAGCTGGATTGGATACACAGTACTGAGTGGTGCCCCATCAGTTATCAGTAAAGTGCTACTTATTCAACAAGTTTAATTCCAGTAAAGAGCTTGAAGTCTGTACCATTAAGTGGGAATTTTTGCATTTTCTTCTGTTCATTGCAAACCTTCAGGAGTCTTTCTTATGTGGATGAGTAGCACAAGAGGTTTAAAAAAAAAAAAAAAAAGGTAATTGGTAGGATATGACAGATGGTGAACATTTTAATGCCTGGCAGCAAAATAAACTGACAGAATAAAGTGCAAAAGAAAAAAAGTGGAAGTATCAAGTACAGCAGAAGCAATCAGCAAGTGCCTAGTTCTTGCAGTGACAAGCAAGGGTAAGAAAATACAAGTTGCCACTCTTTAGGGAATAGGACAAAAGCAAAATAATTAAATTCTTTTAATTTAAAGCTCTAATGAAAGAAATTGCCTGGCTGGGGAAGTGCTGAAGGGACAGTTTCCTTGCTGAAAAGCTGGTGACATTGGAGTGCTCTTACCATAGAAGAGTCTCCGGGGCTCTTCAGTGACTCCACAAGGCAACATAACATCCTGACTGGAAGAGGACGGGCTGAGTGTTTGAGTTGCCTTGTCCTGCTGCTCAGGATGCCTGACACCGGGACCACAGCAGTGTGTGAGGGGAAATAGTTGAAACCTCCCCAGAAGGCAGCTGTAGGACTGGTTCTGTGTGAAAATGCCAGTTGCAGTCATCTCACCAGGCTGACCTGCAAGTCCAAAGTCATCAGAGTGAAACACGTCATCGTCCAGCCCATCCAGGCTAGAATAGTCCTCTTCCAGGTAGCTGGGGCGATCCATTGCTCCTGCAATAAAGAGACATTCGAGGAAACAGCTAAGACACAAGAATCACATCCAGGAGACAATGCCTTCTGCTCCAACAGTAAAACACAGCTCTTGCTTCCACATCTGCTTCCCCCTCCCTCCCAGTGCAGTCCATCTGGGTGGGCATGAGAGGTGAGAGACTCAGTGGTAAAGATTGGGGCTTTGCAGAAAGTCTCTGTGTGGTTGGCCAGAGAGAGCCAAATTTCACATGTCTGAGATTCCACCCAGGGCTCCAATCCCACAGCTGGTCACAGGGCAGGAGCCAACCCCCAACTTCAGCACATAGAAGCTGAAGACACTTGGTTGTAAAAACAACCCCAATCCCTCAAACAGTCTTATGCCAGTCAGCTTCTTTGGGGTTTGCTCTGCTTTGGCATGCTCTACTTGAACTGTATGTTTGGCCCCATTCACTTTTTCCCCCATCTGCTGAAGTAGAGTTCATAACCACAAGGATGCCAAGTTTTTAAGAAACCCCGGTGGCTGCAAAGCTCACAAGATCTGGCAAAGCTGTTCTTGTGAAGTTCTCCACAGCTTCTCCCAGTATAAATCAACCTTCCCTTCAGCTTCCCACTTCTTCCCTTGGCTTAACTCAAGACATGTCCCAAACTTGGCAACACAGCCACTTCACTATCCCTCTTACTCTCAAGCCTACATGCACTGTCAGTGTGTCATTTTGCCCTACTACTAAAGAAAAGAAAGAAAACAAACAAACAAACAACAACAACAAAAAACCACATTTGCCAGTGTCAGGCTTTAAAGCAGGACTTCTGTAATCACCATAGCAAATGCTCCTGAGCTCTGCTGCAGCACAAAATGGGACAAAGATGGTGGAAGAAAGAACTCAAACCCTAAATCACTGTTTCAGAGCTCTTTGCAAACATACAGTAATTAGAAGCAGATTTTCCAGAAAGCCACAAGTCCCTTTACTGTTACCTGTGCATCTAACCCCATTGGAAGACAGTCTCCTAAGAGATCCATCTCCAGGATTTCCACCCAGTTCCAAACAAGGCAGTGAAATTCAACTCTTCACGTCTCTTCCTTTGCTCTGGTTTGCGAAGCATTTAACAGAATGGAAGACTAGCAAGAGGAATTTCAAGCCTGAAGGAGACATTAATAATAATTTTATAAGAATGCGTTCAGTGCTCCCCTTGGATCTCCCATCTCCCCCCAGGTGAGCTGCACTGACACACCAGCATGTGAGAAGAGACAAAGGGCCTGACCAGGGCATGAGCTGTGTACACAGGGCCTCAGCTGATGGGCATATATTTGGGTTACTGCACCCCAGCAGCTCACACGGCCCTCCACCAGTGCCAAAGGGAGCTTGCAGAATGGACAGCAGCACCATGGATGGATGACAGCCACGCTGCCTTAGTGTAACATTCACAACAACCCCATCAACAGCTTAAGGGCAGAGCACCAAAGGGAGTCACAGGTCCTGAGACGGCGGCACAGATCTTCTGCCAGCTCTGCCATGGGAGCACATCTCCTGACAGAGAGGCAAAAATGACCGCGTATTTCATCTTCACAGCAAGGTTTGCCAAGTGTAACCCGTCATGGCCCCACTGGGACACACGCGATCATCACAATAAAGTGCAACAAAGGCACAAAAGGAGGTTACAAAGAGCAAGGTTTACTGGTCCTCCCACAGCTGAGGAAGACTTCAGATCACTTCGGAAGTGCTGCAGACAGAGCGCCAAAGCAGCGTAGAGGACAACTTACCCTAGAGCTCACTTCAGTTCTTCCCAAGAGCCCAGAGCACAGCTCAGCGAGCAGCGGCCGCCGAAGCCGAGAGCCACCCGGGGCAGCGGCGGACGCACCGCCCGGCCGCGCTCCCCCAGCGGCGCGTCAATGGGATTCCTCCGTGCGGCGGTCACATGCCGGCGCTCATACCGCGCGGCAGAGCCGGGGGAGGGCTCAGCACACGTGCGTGCCAGCGTCCAAAACAAAGCCGGCGGCTCTCGCTCGGGCAGCGACAGCGCCTTAACTCCTCCCTCCCCACGACACTGGAGCTCTCCCCCCCCGAGCGACGATCCCGGCTCCGGCGGCCGGGGCTCCCCACGGCACCCTGCAGCCCGAGGGGCTCCGAGCCGCCCCAGTCTCCCTCGGTCCCGCGCCCCTCCCCAGTCCCACTCACGCCGCTATCCTACAAGGAAGCGAGCCCCGGGCGGCGGAGAATCGCGCGCGGTGCCCACGCAGGGGCAGCGGGGCGCGATCGGCAGCCCCGGGTGCACACGCACGTAACCCGCCGCACCCGCTTTGCCTTGCACCGCCCGGGCTGCCCAGAGGCGCACCCACACCCCGGCGGCACTGTCACGCCGGCTCCAGCGCGTTGCCGCCCGCGGGCCCGGCGGCGAGGAGGCTCCCCTGGCACTCACCGCCGAGCGGGCCGGGCCGGGCGTCCCGCGGGGACGGGGGCGCCCCAGCAGCCGAACCGTCACCGCGCCTCCCCGCCGCCAAACTGCCACCGCCGCCGCCGGGCGAACCGCGAACAGCTGACGGCGGCTCCTCCCATGCCGCGCGCGCCCCGCCCCCGCCCGGCGGCCAATGGGCAGCGGGGGGGCCGAGCGGCACCCGCCGCCGCGCGCGAGGGGGCGGCCCAGGAACGGCTGAGGAGAGGGGCGGGAGAGCGGGGAGAGCCGGGCCGACGCAGGGTCGGCCTCCGGGGGCGCGGCCGGGCCCCGCGCTGCTGGAAGTGGTGCCGTTCATCTTCTGCTCTTCGGCCTCTCTAAGCGTGGGGTTGGCGTGTTCTTAGGTGAACGGCGTCACTGGACGCGCGCCACCCGTCGTCGGGGGAGAAAACGATAATTTCAGTGGCCCCGGAACGCAGGGATAGCCTGCACGGGAGCGGGAGCACCCGCCTCGGGGAGCAGCTGGGGCCCGAGTGGGATTGACGTTGGATCCGTGGCTGGGCGAGGAGCGCCTCTCGGGGCCTGGCTGTCCTGGAGCGGTGCTGCGGAGCCGCTCGGCTGTACGGGCTCCGGGAACACCGCAGCGCTTGGGCGGGGGCCCCAGGTCGTAGCAGTGCCGCACAGCCCGGCCGGGGGAGCGCTGCGGGGAAACCCGGCGCGTTCGTCTGCCTTTCTTATCATCGGTTTCTCATCGATTCATTCAAAGCGTGGGAAGGAGGCACGAGGCTGCAGTGGCAGAGCAGGGGGCTCAGCCAGTCCAGCTGCACTTGCAGTGAGGCTGTGGCGTGCAGATCAGAGACGGGACAGGTTAAAAAGGAGAACACTCCACATGTAAAACTGCTTTTTCTCATGCTCTATCTGAGGTGGGAATGAGGAGGGAATAAAAGCTTACATCTGTTATCGTTCAGTGGGACTTGCTGTGCAAGCGACTGCTGTGTTTAGAACCCTGTGAAGCTGCTCTCAGCCTGAGCCTAGTGCCACAAAAGTGATCCCAAGCCATCCAAGAGCAGAGCCATTGGCACGGATGGGCTGGGAAGCCATTGGCTAGGTTTGAAATTGATGAGAGTTTGACTCCAGCAACAGCTAGTTATTTTCAAACAAAACTTGTATTTCTTGGCTCTATATGACTTAGAAAATTCTCCTTCACTTTTAAAGAATGAATGTGGAGGGTTTTAGGCTCAGGGAATACTCTAGCACATTTGGTGGTTATTCCTGCATATGTGCAGTACACAGAGCTAAACACCTAAGCTAATAAGGATAAATTCTTAACAGTGCCTCCTCACTGAGGCACTGAACAGGAGCCCCCTCAATAAGAACATTAAGAAAAAGATGAAAGCAGAGACTCGGTGTGCCAAACAACAGCTTGCTGTTGTTTTGCTTACTCCGCCATTGTCTGTAGCCATAGTTTCCCCTGAGTGCAATAGCAAAATCTCCCCGAAATCAGAGGTGCATCATGAAGCTCCTCAATTCAAAACAGGGCCTTGTCAGGTTGCCTTTAAAACCTACATAAGGAGATCACTTGGAAGGGAGATTCTAAAACCCAGCTGGCAGCTGAGAAATGTTAATTGCTGTCAAGTCTGCCAAACAGTTATTGAGGTAACTTAAATTCAGGGGACGGCTTTGATTGGAAACTGATTGGTAGCAAGGTGAGGTGAATTACCCTGTATTCCTCATATGACACCCTCCTGAAAGGGTTCTGTGAGCCTCTCTGGTTGAACACTTCAGTCACTGTGATTTTGGGTGAGGTAGTTAAAATTGCCATTAATAGGTCAGCAAGCTAATAACATGCTCCCTCTCCAAGAAACCTGCTTATTTATAGTTCTTGTTCATTAGTTCATTTTTACTCTTACCTTTGCCAGAAGGACTGAGCTTCTTCTTCATTATCAGAGGGTCACTGCACATCTGACTTGTATACCACCGTCAAGAGAGAAAGAAAAACGGCTAATTTCTTTCATTTTCATAAGTCTGAATCGTAAGTTAACAAAGCTTAGCTGCCCACTTTTGGCAGTCTAGGGAATTAGGAGTGGTAGAGGAAGGGGAATGCTATCAATAAAAGCAACAAAAAGCACTCTATATCTTCAAGATGTTCAAATTTTGTCACAGTGATGGTCAGGTGCTGGCAAAATGCCAGGCGCTGGAGGGCAACTTCTACTTGTAATTTGAATGTGCATTGCTATAAATAAAAAATGAATGCACTGCAATTCCAACAGCTTATGTCTTGCAGACTGAGTTATAACTGCCTGCTGGTTAGGCTCATTAACAGTAAAAACAGTACCTGATCGGCTTTGTTTTCATCTTGGTAAGCTGTAGTTGGGGCCACAATTTCAATCCCCAGAGGCTGCATTTTGGGAACTCCTACTGTGTTGAAAATGTATGGAGACTGAAATCTATGTATATAATCAGGCTGGATGGTAAGAGAGCTCAGGAAGGATATTTGTGCCTTTCAATGATTAAAAAAAAGATATGGCAGCATTTCTAAGAGAGGGGACTCAGAGGGATTCCTTGAGGAAATTAGACATTGTTAAGAAATGGCTCCGAGTAAATAGACCGAAACCAAGACAGAGACAGTGAGTCTGAAATGGAAAATTGTGAACTGAGGGCAAGTTATACCACCGAGTTGGCTGCATTCTGCAAAGGGAATTTCTACAATAGCACGGAGACGAGTGTCTTACCTTGGAACTGGAGCCACAGGGACAGATACTCTGCCAGATTTTTGTGCTCATTAATGTACGTGGCAGTAAGTTCATTCAAGAAATCAATCTAAAATCATGTGGAGTAGTGCTCCATTAACATCTGTGGAGGGAAATATCATGCCAGCCTATAACTTTTCAATTAGCCCACTGTTGTGCTCAGAAGACTACTGAACAGCATTGCTTCTTTTATTTAGTTACTCCATTACATATCCCCTATGTGTCTTCAGAACTGTTTCTCCTTATTTTAGTGACAAAATGCTATTGTCAGCATTGTTCTGTAATTGCAGAATGCATTGTAATTTTAGGCACGGGTCTTGCAAGCTGCTCTGCCTGGGTGGGCTCCTGAAATCCACACAGGGCCAACTTGACATTGGTGGGGGTAGTCTTTGCTGAAGCCCCACCTTTGGAAACCAAAAGCCTGTATCATCTCAGTTTTCATTTCTATTTATCTAGCTCCTGTAGTTGCAATAGGGAAATTAAGAGTAGCCCAATGGATCATAAAGCTAAGCATGAACAGAAAAAATGCTTGGGGTTGATTATTTTGTTATCTTAAGGACATGGGGTCAATCTGATGATTTTTCAGGGGGCTTTGTGTGCTTAGAATTGGAAAACTTAATTCTGCCCTGACACATACCAACAGGCCTACTAGCTGTGTTCTACTACTGCAGAAACATTTTACTGTCATTGTATGACGCAGAAAAGCCCAGCTTGAATTTCAGGTTATGACTGTCCTTGCACATTCCTCACACAAGCTAACCTTGTGGAGAAAGCTGGCCTTTCTGTGACTGAAAGGCTCACTGGGTTCCATGCACAGTGCTGATAGGCACAAGTGCTGTATGACTGAAAAGGTGTATTAGAGAGCAGAATCATTTTCTAACTAAATAATACAGACAAGATATTGCTGCTGGGGTTTTCTTCTGCAGAGCCTTTTAAGAAGGCTCACCGGGGCCTTTTAATTTCTCTCAGAGCAAACCTAAAACACTCTTTTCTACCAAGATGTTGGCAGTATCTTGGGAAAAAGCTTTACCTTTTCTCAGGCTTGTGCCCGATTCTTACTGCAAGGACCAAAGAAAGGAGTTTGCATTTTGCAGTCAGTGGCGCCTATTGTCAGCTCTGCCTTACAGGCAACAAAATCAAGGGAAACACCAACAACTGAGATGTTGCTGACATGCACCTCTGTCTGTTCATCACTGAACATTCTCTTGTGTGCTGGAATCATACAGAGCTTTTCCTCCCTGTCTTTCTTTCTTTCTTTCTTTCTTCCTTTCTTCCTTTCTTCCTTTCTTCCTTTCTTCCTTTCTTCCTTTCTTCCTTTCTTCCTTTCTTCCTTTCTTTCCTCTCTCTTCACAAAGACTTGCTGTAGAATTTCACTTTCTCTAAGGAATTGTCCAAATCTCCAGAGGCTTTGTACAGAACAGGATTTCTACAGAATACTAATGACATATGGGAAAGTTCCCATGTGGATTTATCTTCCTTTCCATTAAAAGAAATAAACAAACAAACAAAGCATTTATTGATTTGACTTTGGCTGTTAAATTTGAATTTGACTGTTAAATGTTAAATTTGCCCAGGTGGCCAAGAGGGCCAACGGCATCCTGGCCTGCATTAGAAATAGTGTGGCCAGCAGGAGCAGGGAGGTGAGCATCCCTCTGTACTCAGCACTGGTGAAGCCGCACCTCAAGTATTGCGTTCAGTTTTGGGCCCATCATACAAGAAAGACATTGAGGCCCTGGAACGTGTCCAGAGAAGGGCAACAAAACTGGTGAGGGGTCTGGAGCACAAATCTTATGAGGAGTGGCTGAGGGAGCTGGGATTGTTCAGTCTGCAGAAGAGGAGGCTCAGGGGAGACCTCACTGCATTCTACAACTTCCTGAAGGGAGGCTGTGGTGAAGAGGGGTTTGGCCTCTTCTCCCAGGCAACGAACAGGACACGGGGAAATGGCTGCAAGTTGTACCAGAGGAGGTTTAGGTTGGACATAAGGAAGAACTTTTTCTCTCAGAGAGTGGTCAGGCACTGGAATGGCTGCCCAGGGAGGTGGTGGAGTCGCCGTCCCTGGCAGTGTTCAAGAGGCGCCTGGATGAGGAGCTGTGAGATATGGGTTAGTGCTTGTGGTAGCAGTGGTAATGAGGAGATGGTTGGACTAGATGATCTTACAGGTCGTTTCCAACCTTGTGATTCCACGATTCTACTTGTTGCTTAAATTCTCATCTTTGGGTTTCTTCTACTGCCTGCCTTTTCCCTCTGGTTCTGCACTGCTATCCACTTTCTTCTGCTTTTTCCTGCTACATTTTTATGTGTTTGCTTCTCCTTCCTCTGGCATTCTGGTTTTCCTCTTGCATTCTGTACCAACTCCTGCAGCATAAGCTCTCTCAGATGCTTGACT